CCGGACAAAGCCTTGAAAAAGGCAGTCTCCAGCAATGAAGAGGCTCCCCTTCAGCCATACGCGCGCTGGTTGACTTGTAGTGAACGATTGTAGTATGGTAGGCCGTTTCTCGGGGAGTGCCACAGGCCACCTGCACAAAGAACTCCAAGAAGAAATCTTTTGGGAAGGAGGCGCAGAAGATTTGCGGTATGGAAACTATTTGCCACCTGGAGTCTCTTTTGCCCCCAACAACAGCCTTTCTGAGCTGACTCGGCAACCAAAGAGCGTAGTAGCTCTAGATACCTGCTAGTAGCCTAGCCACGCTTACTTCAATAAAGGTGGAACCTACTCTTGAACCTCCTTGTAATCTTGCCCTGCAATTCTCTTTGGCTTTCATAAGTCTCACGACTACTTGGCAAATTCATCTCCTGATTCCGGATGTGAATTTAGCGGTGGCTGGGAGGCACCAGGGCCAGCAATCACTACTGCACATTTTCTTTACTGCACTGCACTATCTTGCGTCCATGTCGTTATCGTGCTCATGTGTTGCTCTCATGGATCTTCGTGAGTATTGGTTAAGTTGTCTCCAACAACAGTTCATTAAACTTTCCCTCCAAGCCAGGGCTAATGGGCTAATACCTCTACTTGAGCCAGGATGTCACCGAAGCTCTGGCAACATTCCTTTTGAATCCCATGTGCTTGAAAGCGTTCTTGGCTGTTCTCAAGTGGCGTGTTTGTCGACTGGACTGCTACCGGGTTGTGCAGGCGACCTTAGGGCTCACCTGGTTGGTCCTGTGAGTTTCTCCGGATTGACCAATGGCAGGGTCGCTGCTCCCAACCGCCGAACTGGCTTTGCTCACCAATCTGACGGAGCTGGACCGGTCTTCAAGACCCACCTTGGAATGCATTTTCAGCATGTCTTGGTGGGGTGACTTCACTTTGCATCTTGGCTACATTGCCCTGACAGACGTTGAAAGAAGCCGTAGGCTGCTCGCAGATCGGGAGTTGAATGCTGTGGAGGTCATCAAGCTGCATTGAGCTGGGGAGTGGAGTTTGACAGGTGTGGACCTGTTGGTGCACTCCTTGCAGCTGATCAGCTTGATGAGATGGATGTGGAGTTGGTTACCACAAGGCCAGGTCACCAATCGAGGCTCCGAAGAATTGCAAATCAAACCCTCCTCGTGAAGGTGGTGAGTAAAATATGCCGCTCGCTCCCAGAATGTCACCAAGCCCAAAAGGGGACGCATCGGTTTGCGCCTGCGCTGCTGTCTGTTGAGGTGTCCAAACATACAGTAAATCTTTCGTAGTCCAGCAAACAGATCTTCAAGCTCAAGCATTGCCCGTATCCAAACAATGCTGTATTGAAATGCTTCACGAAGACCTGGCCATTGCGAACTCGTGTGGTGTCACAAACCGGAGCTCTTTGCAGTGTCAGGACAAGCAGAACGCGTTACCAGTTATGGTCGCGCTAGTGGAACTGCAGACGACAGCCATCCCAGCACGCCCGGGGCGCAGTGCAATAGATGCACAGGAACAATTCCTTTCCGCTCCTGAAGCTTGGCTAGTGTTTGCAAGTCCGGCCACACCCGCATCAGCTGAAAACCTGTCTACCCAAGGCCAAGACTAGTTCCCATGGTAGTTTTCGCCCAGTTGATCTGCAGTCGCAAGCTGAGCCATCTGCCATAGAGGTGGTTGCTGAAGACAGTGGGTTGCTTGACCTTCCAGCACCATCTTGTCTAGAGCGTCTTGTGCCGTTTATCCTCGCTTTCGCCTGTTGCGCTGTTTTCTTCTCCAAAGTCTGAATCTTGAGCTTATGGCATTGTCATTGCCTCTTGCTCGCAGCTTTTGAAAGGCCCTCGTAGAGCTCGAAATGAAGGCTCTCTGTAAATCGACTCCTCTGCGACACGCGTGCACCTGTTGTCGGCAAGGTAGGTCTGGAACAGGTGTGTAACTA